TTACAGGGTAGGCCGGTGTTACGGACGCACGTCTCGTCGAGTTGTATATATTAGATGATGATGAAAGAAGAAGTGAAAATTATCGAAGGAGTTTTAATTCTACAGTCCAGCATCGGCTAGCTACGTTTGAATCTGTTCAAGATCCAGGAAGATCTGCAACAGCCGGCATCGCTTAAGCCTATCCTTTTCAGTACGGATGTAGAATCGGAGAGCCCTGGTTTGGCTTAAGGTTGCATTTCCCCTGCGTAAAAAAACTGGTTTTGTATCGCTTAACTCCTATTGAAAGAAAGCATAACCCAATCCGCTTAACCTTCAATACCCAGTTACACAAACATCCATCCACATTTTTATTAGCTTATAAAGTGATATGACCGATACAAATTTTCAAATTTAAAATAATCATTAGAGCTTAAAGTCGTCATTAAACCTTAATGTCATAATAAGTATAAGTTAAACTCTTGTCTCGGTCGTAGTGAAAGCTTCAAAAGGTCAATAGGATTTATGATTCTGTCTGCATGGATATGCTCACGTTTTGTAAGTGTGTGGAGGTTATTCTTGAGAAAGTGTTGTCCTAGTATTCCTTAGGAAACTATCTATTAGACACCACACGGTGACACAGCTAATAAACGAACCTATATAAAAGACGACCATGGGATTGTTTCCATCATTAACCAACGTCTGCGGCTAGGGTTGCCAACCGCTATAAGATGTAGTGTTATACTATATTTCAAACCGTGTATTATATACTGTTGAAGAAAAATAATATATAGTATGCATAGATACTATATTTACAAAATCAAATAAATTATTCGTTCGCCTTATACATTTAACGATTGGTAGGAAAAAAATTAGACGATTTATAAGTGTTATCAATAAGCTTTTTTAAATAAAAGATAAGATAAGAGTAGCTCGATGGCGTAGTGGATAAGCGTCGCGGCCCGCGATCGTTGTCGTTAAGCAACTTTCGCTAGGGTCGGATGGGTGACCAAAAAATTATTATCTCGAGCTACTCCGTGCTTCGGAAGGCACATTAAGCCTTTGGTCCCGGCTGCATTTGCAGTCGTTAATACCCTCCAATCCGCATTGGGCCAGTGTGGAGGGTCTTGGCCCATCTTCCTTAACCTTCCATAAGGAACGCTTGAGCCCCTGCTGTGGGGTCATAAAAGGGCTGATGATAATGATGATGATGAAATAAAAGATAATTTATATTTCATATCAGGTAGATCCTTACGCATTTATTAAAGTTCGGTTCCTATGGAATTCGATTGGTACCTAAGTGATATACCCGTTCATAATAATATTTAGTATAAATAGATATTTGTATTTTATTCAATTTAAGCATAGATTTTTAAGTTTGTCAAAGATATAATATATAAACTATGTTTCTCATAATTCTAGTACCTACTTCATATCGATTCACAATAACGCCTTAAGTTAAGCCATTAGCAAACGACGGTAATCTCTACATTTTGCAGGTTAAATTAAGGAATTAACAAAGAGAAAAAAAATATAGGAACAAACATGGCGTTAATTAAAATTATGTGCACGGCAATATCTCCAATAATATGTATTAGTATTTATATTCTTTTGCAATATTTACGAAACTGGGGTACTAATGTCACCTTGTACTTCATTTTTATTTGAACGATTAATACCTATATATTTTCGGGTTCCTTATTTTAGAACATAAGTATTTACTTTGTAACAGCTTTATATAAAAATGTTATTACCTAAAAACATGCTAACGTGCATTTTATAATTAAGAAAGCTTTTAATTAAATAGGCTCAATCGTTATCAAATTACATTCGATAACAATAAAGAGCAAAGCAATATGTTTAACTAATTAATCAAAATCAAATTTTGTAAAAATTAATTATTAGAAAGATTACGATAAATCTTACATTCAAGATCATACAAGTAAAACATACTAAATAGGGATGACGACTGATTTTTATTTGTTAGTCCGTCAAATAGAGTGTTGAAAAATATAAACAGATTTTTTTTTTTCCGTAATCATAAAATAACGGCGTTACATGGAGTTGAAATTTCGCATGACGTCACGTTATGATACGTTTTCTACAAAACTGTGCTTATTGTTTAAGCTATTTCTCGTTAAATTGCAGTAAAAAAACAGTATCTAATATTTTCTATTATCTGACTGACGGACTAAATAGAATTGCATTTTTTTACCCAGTCGTCATCCCTATTGTAAAATTCTGTTTAAGGCGGTCACATTATACTTTCACAAATAGAGTACAGAAGTGAATCTAAATAATAGACAATTCACAAAAAAATATATCACCATAAAATCACAATTTCAATAGGAATTGTACAAAGCACTATCTAACACATGAAGCGATGTAGTAAAATTGCCAAATTATACAACAATTTCATCCTCAATCTCTTTTTGATTTGATTTATTATCGTAGGATAAATCATTGTCAGATATCACCCTTTGTTATATTTCATATATATTAATTGTGGTGGATGTCGTTGGTGGCAAAAATTATCAATTTGTTTTTTAATAAATAGAAAAAAAACAGGCTACGCATCTCTCAACAGCTCCGTCGCTCGAAAGTTATGAAATGAATCCTGGAAAATGTCAACAACACCCGGCAATCTGTTGTTAGCCTTAGGCAAGCAACACACTCCAGCATGTGCCAATACGTTAGTCCTGGCGAATAGTTTGCTAAATACTGGTACCGGATAGCGTGGTAGTCTGCGAGGGACCCTGATGTTGATCCCACTAAGAAGCTGAGGGCAATCCTCTACCCTTCAAACTATCTTGTGTGGGAAAGTTAGGTCCAGCATATTCCTGCTTTGAAGAAGACTATCCATTTAAAAGTAACGAAGTCTTTCACTATAACTACCGCGTTTCATATTTAACCACTTCTAAATGCAAGATGTCACGTGAAGCGTTTCTGGATTCGTCCAATGCGCAGTTGATGAACATAGTACTGAGGAGACCAAACCACCGAGCAGTACTCCAGCACCACGTCTAACAAAGGTGTTATAAATAATTATCTTCGTCACTGGGCTTTTGAATACTTTGCCATTTCTTACAATAAAACCAAGAGCTTTTCAGGCCCTAGCAACAATATCATTGATGTGAGGTATAAATTAACGTTTATATGAACTGCCTTCAACTACTCACAACATATTCAACCTCTGCACCACTGATAAAAAACATATTAAATAGCTTATTAGGACTGCATTATGGCGATTTGGTCCTTGTAGAAGTTGCGCAAGTCCCTTTATCGGATGAATGGCCGCTTTTATTACAAGGAGTTTTAGAACGAGTCGTTGGTCCGATTGAATTTGCTGTCCATATCAAATTTATTTCTGTGGTGCAGTCCACAGAACACAGAAAAGAGGTAAGTGATTATTAAGAACCTACTAATCCACACTGGCCTCCCTCCCTCCCACTCCCTAGTGGAACATAATCGGTGACGTAATGGTTAGTGCGTTCTATGAACAATGCGGGAATCAAACTACTTTCACAAGGGCCGGTCATAGGATGAATGGATGGATGGATGACCGAAAATATATATCGCTTCAGAAGATAAAAGTTACGAATAAAACTGTACCCGTACCGTATGTATTCGTTACTCTAAAAATCATTACTCATTACTTTCCAATATCTCATGTTTATGTCAGAGCTACGAATCGAATCGTACAGTATGATATCGCAACATTCGTTATTTGTAGTAACGTTACTTAAATAAGTACTGAAAAATGTTATAATTCAAAAGCACCAAATGGGAGTAGAAAATCATTTATTTATAATAAAATTAGACATTTTAGGGCAGAAATCTATAGTTCATATTTAAAAATAAAATCTTTTCCTTTAATATTTGGACCGATTTGGAAAAAATCCTTTCAAATGGTACCGAGGTAGTCATCACTGATAAATATTTCTCAGACATATTTGAAAGTTCGGGGTATAAAAAATAATGCGTTCTTCTAGATATTGCCTCATGCAATAAATAGTTAAAACTCAAGTGTCTCAATCATAATAACCCTTAAAAGATAAGAATTAAAAAAGAAAATACGCAATAATAATAAATCAAAACATATACCTATTTCTATTCTGTTATTAATACTTTCTTAACTTGTTTCTGTACCAAAATCAAACTTTTATACACACAATACTTTTACTCAACAGTAAAATACTTGGACGAGTAATTTCCAAATTATTCTATAACAAACGTCGTTTTTTGTAACGTACATTTTAAACTCATCGAATAAGCGCGCGCAATGGGCGCATGCGTAATATCGGTAGGCAGATACCATCAACAAGCGTTTCAATACACGCATCAACGGCACTAGTACGTAAACTGAAACAGTATTGGTACTTGGTAGATACGAAAAATGCGAGTAACGAAATGCATTCGTGAGTAACGTTTCGTTACTCGGTACTAGACGGCGCACCCGTTACTCAGTACCGAATACATACGATTTGCTACACTTCTGTTGATGGTGATGAATATTTATGCTGTTAGATATGGCCCATCGTCCCTTATGTGATAGTGATAAAACTATATATTGCATTTTAAAATTAACATTATAAACACTAGTTTACATAGGCAATTTCATTTCTGATATACTAAATTGTAATTCCGCTAAAATATATCTAATGCAGGTTAATCTATTTTCTAATTCTAGAGCCTCGAATTAAAAAATAAAATAACGAACGATCCTCAGATAGAATCAGAGGCCCTAAATTGTTAATTTTAATTTAAAAATTATTTTTATTGTGGGCAATTAGAAATTAGGACGGTATTGAAATAAATTTAAAGGTACATAAACATGTTCCTACTTTGCTGCGTTACTATTTGTGTAATAGAAATCAGAAACCTTTGTTTTACAATAAAAACACGCTCATTTATTTTTATATAAAAATAAACTCTAACAATAATTATATGAAAAATTACATTTTTAGGGCCCAAACTTAGTTTTCAATGTTTGATGACATGCTTGTTTCTTAAGTTTTGCAGTGTGATTTTCCCGAGTTTCCACCAGAGACTTGTTACAACGTAATAACCCAAATATATTCCAACGGCATCATTCCAAAATCTAAAACATCTTTCGGTAGGCTCGGCCACTAACGCAGAAACTACGTAATTTTCTTAGTATAGACATGTAAATATTTCAAATCAACTTTGCCTGTCAGATAATTAGAAATAACTTGTAGCATCCTCTCTTTCGCAGTATTAAACTCGGCCCCTTCTTTGAAGGTAATAGCGACATCATAAAGCGAACGAGCGTGATCATCATCAGAATGATCATCCAAATAGTGCCTGAAAATAAAAAAGAAACCTTGGAATATACAGGCAGTCCTCGTACTTACGGCATGTTAGGTTCTCAAAATACGCGACATAAAGCGAATCGCTTCGCTTCGCGAATCGTAAGTCGAGAGATATTTTTTCATTTGTTTACACTTATAACAAAGGATATACATACTTAATTATCAAAAATAAGTAATTAAACTGAAAATAATTATAAATGTATTTATGAAATGCTAGTTTTTTGTTGGTATTTCCATAATAAGACTTTAATTATCAAAATATGCAATGAGAAATAATAAATTAAACTTTTGTCTTAAAGAAACTATCAATTCTCGATTGCTTCGCTTCTTTGCTATCATACAGGTTTTGGAAACACTGATAGGCTGCACAAGTGTTGTTATTAAAACCCCACGGACATTGACCTCGCGACAAGTGAATTCTCCTATGCCGGAAATCGAAACAATTGACGTATGCTTGAGGAACAGTGTCAAACATTGTTTGACGTAACTTAAAATGACGTAAGTCGAGGACTGCCTATACTATTAATATTATGCAAAGAACAGGAAAACATATATTATGTCGGCCTACCCTACAGAATATCTGGACGATAATAATAAGACACAAAAATGATTGCTTCACATACAAAGAGATTGTAAACCAATTTATAATGCTTACTTTAGAAGCCATTTGAATTCTCAATTAAAGTTTAAAAAAAAGCATTTTAAAGTAACTTACTTCATAGATTCCGTCATATACTCGAAATGTTCTAAGAAGCATGAGCAGGCTTTATTGTGTACGTAAGACAACTGAGTTTTTAGAGTCTCACTATTGTCCAAGACTGTATCCTTCGCTTCAGGAGAAAAATCAGCTTGGCTCTCAACCACAGGAGTCAGCTGTTCCTTATCAAATCTTCTGAGATATAACTTCCTTATAAGAGTAGACGTCGTGACAGGCATCTTTAACTTAGGCCTGTCAATATCCACTAGGTCTTCATTGTTTTCTTCTGATATAACTTCTCTTTTCACTTTAGTAAAGATAGCCAGTAAATCATGCTCCGCCGCCATTTGATTGATCGTGGAACACAGGGTTTCAATGAACCATGAACCTTTACGATCGGTACTGGAATTAAATTAATATGTATAACTTATAGAATCATGCCTTCTATTCACAAAAATATATGTAAATAAGACTATGCATTGTTATATAGTCTAGTCTAGCTTTTTTGTGAATAGTGGAATAGACAAAACTGGAATAGATGACACATCGTATAAAACTATTTCTGGAGTTTTGTGGCCATAACAAATATATTTAATATATAAGATTAGGTCCTTACGTATGAAATTGGTGTTTGGTATGGGAGGAACAAAAAGACGAATATTTTTAATATAATATATTTATTTAATCAAAATATAAACCATTGTTATCTATGCACTTTTGCCATCCCATAGGCAGTTCATTAATCCCCTTAATAAAAGAAAAAACATTCGGACGGGATTCAATAAAATTTTTGAAGGCGATGTGCATTGCCCTATCGGAGTTGATTTTTTTCACTTGCAAGAAGTTATCAAAATTTCGAAATAAATGGTAATCTGTTGGAGCAAGTTTCGAGGAGACATTCCAATTAAAGCTCTTCTAATTTGGTAGCCGTCTGTTGTGCAGTGTGTGGTCTAGCGTTGTCGTGATTTAGCAGTGGCGTAGAGCGATTGACCAGCCTCGGTTGTTTAACAGCTAGTTTTTGCAACATGGTTTGCAATTGCTGACTATAGACGTCTGCCGTAATCGTCTGGCCAGATTTGAGAAAAAGGTAAGGAACGACACCGGCACTAGCCCACCAAACGCTTACAAGTAACTTTTTTGGGGTCAATTTACGCTTGGAGCAGGATTTGACTGGCATGCCAGGGTCCAACCATTGCGATGAGCGCTCAGATTATTCGGTTCAAAAACCCTTCATTATTTTGCCGGTTAGTAATGTAACGCAGCAGTCAAAGCGCGTTTGGCGGTTTGCTTCACTCAATTCATAAGGCACCAACCTTTCAAGCTATCTTTCCAATTTGCTTCAATTGGATAAAAACAGTTTTATCACTAACACCGCAGCCTACAGCTAACTTGGACTTGGTTTGCGATTGATCCGCCCCCTAATTGTCTAATTTTAAATCTATTGCAATCGCTTTCAGTTTGAAAGGTGTTGCACAACCATTGCTTGTTTCTGAAGACAGTTGAAAAAAAGTATTTGTATTATGCAGCAATGGTTGTGCAACACCTTTCAAACTGAAAGCGATTGCAATAGACTTAAAATTAGACAATTAGGGGGCCGCTTCCACAATAGCCTTCAATTCTTCATTATTAACTTGGGTCTACGGCGGACCACGGGGGTTGTTCTGCAGGTTGAAATTTCCAGAACGAAAATGTTGGAACCAAAAACGCACTGTATTTTCTTTTGCGACACAACCGCCATACACATCATTAACCCTCGAACCGTTTCCGCACTACGGTGGAACTCGTACTCGTAAATAACACGATATTTCAAGTTTTCCATTTTTTATAGTGGGTGACGTTAATAGGAAAAGCAGAAGAAAAAAAACAAATGAATGCCGCCTAACGAAACACAAATACATGTGTAAATGGCTGTATAAATTTGAATTTGGAATTCCCAACCAAGAAGGATAAATTTGTGATTAAAGTGGCCAGTACGACAAAACGCCAATTTCATATGTAAGGACCCAACTAAATTAACCAGTCACGTTACAAGAAAAATGATTGCACCTTGGAATTTATGAAAAATATGATACGCTGCAAATACATATACGCTTTCATTTTGACATTCTAAATATTTTCTTTAAAATCTTATAAAACCTCAAGTCTGCGTCACGAGTTTCTTCTGGAATATTTTTATGCATTCTACTATTTTTGAGATAGGGGCAGACAATGAGCGTTCATAATTCTCTATATGAATAACTAACAACGCTGACACGAGATGTTATTAAACTTTCGAAACCATAATTAGAACAACATAATGAAAATATATACGAGTTTCTATTATAATATCTGTCAAGTGAATCCCTTTACTGTACATATCATACGAATTATAAAGATTCTCATAAAATACAAAAAAAGATTGTCTCGGCAGATAAGATATATACAACACCAAGTAAAATAATATAGAAGTCGGAAGGACAAGAGACACCTTCCATCCAAATTGACCGCGCATTATCAGAGCATAACATCAGAAGTCATAAAATTTGGTGAACAATAATAAAACTTATTAACGTTGAGAACGTGAAAGATTTTTGTAAAAACAGTTTTTTTTGGCATTCGGTCCTGTCTGCCTACCCAACACGGCATGCGACTCGAAATTATAGATAAAGCGTACCTTTGTTTCCCACTATAGGAGTTATGAAATATGATCAAATCAGACTCCACGGGCAATGTGTACGGCTCTATATCTTCATCGAAATCCTTGCGTACACTTCCTAACGCTGACCTGAACTTGATCACACCTTTTGTTTCTTCAATTTGACCCACACCAGCCTGAAATAAGTGAACACAGTTAAAAGATGACAGTCTTTTGTAAGATTAAAGTAACTTTATTATGTAATAATCTCGTAAGTATTCATTCAATTAATGCTTTGTATAGTGTTAGAAGGGAAAAGATCGATAACTACTGGCAGCACTAATTGTTGATCTCACCACTGGCATCCCTTTCTGTCAGTTAACTGTCACGGTCGCTTTGACGTTAACGTTTGATCAGTTTCGCGCCAATATACTTCCGGACAGTTTAAAAAAAAACTGAAGATCTGGCAGTATGGCTCAAACGCCTTCGCCTGTCCTTAACGAAGTCGAACGAAACGAACTGTCCTGAACGAAGTTTATTACTACTTCCGGGCTGTCATTCTTGTAAAACTATTGGCATCAACATTGTGATTTTAAATATATCAATCGAATAGTAAAATGTTCTTCATAATCCTTACTAATTAAAATTAAAATTTCATCCCAAAATACTAATACAGCTTTAAATAGCTTTAAAATCAATAAATAGTACAGCAACTACGTACTCCAAAATTCTAATCTTATGAGGAAGTATTTCAAAAAATAAAGAAACTACAAAAAATTATGTCACTAGATGGCAGCACAAATTGTTGGATCTAAACGTCAATTCGTGACGTTAAACCAAAGAGAATAGAATTGTTAGTGTTGTCCTACTCTAGAAATCAGTTTTGTTGAAATATATTATTAACTAAGTACCAGTAGTCAGGCTCTCTTAAAATCTCTGCGATGGTGTCGTGTGCGTTAGGTCGTTACGTTTCCTCAAATATAGTATAGTTGAGTTGTATAGTTGAAATTAAATAGCAAGTGTTTCTTGCCGATTCTTGTCAGTACGAGACCTCCCGCCTTAGTTTTGCGAACCATTGGCAAAGTTTTCGACTTTCACAAGTAATATGTAAAAGCGTAGACTGAACTGATTTTAATATTTATTTTAAAATCATTCGTTTTGTGGATGCCTAATGACAATTAAACATACAAGCTGAATTCTGCGCTCAGTTTTTTTTTTTTTATTCCAAACCCTGAATTCGGATGAAAGTTACGAGCAACCAATAAGTTGGCTTATCACTAATGTTGACGTATCAACCAAACATCGTTCCTTTACACGTAACATAATAAACAAGTTAAATTTACAATTAAAATAAAATAAAATTAATAACACTCAGGGTGACTATGTTATGTCCGCTAGAAAATTGAAAACAGAACTCTTATTTATAGCGGGTAGTATTGCTTTCATGGGTTGTATAATCCATGAACGTGATACCATTAAAAATATTGTAAATCCTTCTCCAATAGACTGATACTACATGCATAAAGAGACAGAGTCATACATGCATAGAGAGTCAATTTCTATATTAGTCGAATTTGTGATGGCTTCATTTAAAAAAAAAACCACTTCACTCAAGCTGAGACTGCACTGCGTCAATCGCACGCTAGTCTAAAACTTTACGTTTAGAACACGCACACGTATTAATTTCATAATCAACAGTGAAGATAGTATAATATGATATCTTACGATAAATTATCGCACGCCATGCAATAAAATGGTCCAACACAAACGCCTAAGGTAATATAATATCTTCATAATATGTTAATTATGATGCTAGGCGATACAGAAATATATATTTATAAAGGGTTTGAATACTATTGTATCTTAACCGTGTGTAACAGCTTAAGATATAAAATAGGTATGTTATCTTAAGATGAGATATTATAGCACCTAAACCGTCTGTAACGAGCTTTAGCCGACTAGAATGCAAGCTGCAATGTATGTACTTTCGCGTTCTCAGCTATGCCTAAACCGCGTTAAATAAAATGTGGTCTCAACTCATACCTGGATTATAAAAATCTTCGGCTTAGTAATTAGTGCAGGATTTCTATCATTCTTAAAATATTTAATCAGCTCTAGTTCATTGTACAACTCATCTTTGGCCCAGATAAGACCATGTTTCTCGCCATATGTCAATATTGCCACTGCCACACATCCATACTCTGTGAAGTCTTGCCCACTATCTGCAAATATGTAGCAGTAAATATTATTGGAATACCAAACTAATAGACCTCTCCGTCTATATATTTTTTTCATCTTGAAAAAAAATATACAAAAGCTCTCAAAAATTTTATGTACCGGTTTGGCCACTTTTTGGCCATTTGGAACTTCAAAGCTTATATATATATTACACTATCAAGCGATGACACTTACAATATTATTTACTGAATGTCATGCTTACATAAAAGCAATTTTATTTTTTATAATTTTCATTTATTTTTTAATAATATACTTGTTTAAGTGTAGAGGTGACTTTATTACACGCAATAAACAACATATAACAATAAACGCTCATAAAATAGAAAGTTTTTCCTTTACAAATTACCTGTTTTCCCGAGACCGTCCACGTCAATGAGAAAGTATTAAAAAAACGAAAACACTAAAAAGCATCTCCACTAGATGGCGACTCTAGCAAAAGTTGGTTTTTGCAGGAAACGAATGGACCAAAGCCAGTCCTTTCCATTCCTATTAACTAAGACATTAAAAAACTAAAATTTGATAAGTTCGAAACTTAGCTATCAACAAATACGAAAAAGTACAAATAGAATGTGAGCTTTTTTATTGAGTTTTGAAAACTAATTTACTTTTAAACATGAAAGAAAACAGGAAAGGTTGTCATGGAGAAATCAAGAACGTACCGTGGCGACATCTAGTTAGATTTCGCGAACTAACGTTTTTTTTAAATAATCGAATCAATATTTCCAAAGATAACCCCCTACAAACAAACAAACAAACGATCAAAGTTACAATCTTTACCTCTATATAATATAAGTATTGTTAATACGGTCATTAGACGATATATCTAGCGTCAAATGAGTCAGCCAGATAATTCTTTTTTTACATTATCCGCAACTTTGATCTGATCTCGATCCAGATTGATTGTCTAATGACTGGCTATGATTCATATCATTTGATCCACAAAACACACCTTTTGTTTAAGTAAAATATGACAATAACAAAATAATAGACAAAACCAGTGATAGAATATACTCTATAGCAGAAGTTGCAACTAAGTTTCTTTAACTGCATGGAGTAAATTTATATTTAACCAATTACTTTACTTGTTTCAAGTGTTATATTTTGAGAAAGAAAAACGTAATATTATTTTTTTCAACTCCTTGCCAAACTAAATGTCGTTTGCTTATTATTTTAAAAATTAACTTACATTCTTTTAGTTTCTTCATTAAATCCACTTTTGTAAGATCTTTTTCTACTTTAATTTCAAAACCAAATTCGGAAAACGTCATTGTAAGTTCTTTTTCATCTTTGTCTATGCTTAAATTAGCTTTGAAGCCATTAATATCCTGATGCTTAAAAATAAATAAGGCTTTCTTCTCAAATTTTTCTAATTCATATGTATTCGAGTGTTTCGACAAGGGCCGGGTTTTAATAACATTTATCAATGGCGGTAATATATTTTCATCTATTGATTCCGTTATATCTTTCGTTTCAGCTGATATATGTTCAGATTCCAATTTTGCTGCTGTTTCTGGTAATTCAGATGGAGATAGCGGTTGGCTATCTATATCAGTTCTATCGTTATCGTCGTTATGTTCTTCTGTCATATGATTATTATCCTCTGCATCGCAATATGCATCTTTGGAATCAGGGGGTTCTTCGATATCTTCTTTAGCTTCATCATTATTCGAATTGCATGTCACGTCACGTATATTTTTGCGAATATTGCTACGATAATATTTTCCCTTTTTATTTTTCCGTTTTTTAAAGGTATAATCGAAATTCGAACTTTTCATATATTCCTCCGGCGTAGGAGGAGTTGCCACTTCACTAGGATCTTCATCGTATTTGTCCATTTTATTTTTTAATATAGTTTCAACACTACATTAGTCACTATTTTTTCTTGACCGTGTTACCGCCGATGGCGTTATCAATTTTAAACACACTGTCATACTAAGGCGATTTACTGATAAAACTGTATATATATAAAAAGTTTATCTATCAAAATGATAGGCATATCACTCACTGAATTGAGATACTTTTATGTTGAAACCTTTTTATATTAAGGTTAGGAAGGAAGAATGGCTATTTTTTCAAAAGGTTTTCCCATGAATAATATATATCACACCAAAAATATTTAAAAAGAACTAGCCAACTCTCGATTGAGCTGCTTGTCTCTCTATAAAAAGTAATGAAATCTCGAAGTAAAGCCAAGCCAAATTTTAAAGTTCTTTACCGTAATTTCTTTATTGATGTTGTTAAATGTTATGTGACTTGGCCGTTGTCTTCGATGCATCAAAATGTGCATAAAGAACGTCAACGACCGATCACACAAGATCTAACTATATTAATAAAGAAATCTCAGTAAAGAACCTTAGACTTGACTTGGTTTTGCTTAGAAAATTTTTTACTTCAATATCAGTGTGTCAGTAAATCATCGAGTGTCGACTTCGTCAAGAATTAGCAGTTTTGCTTTTGCTTAAATTAGGAAATCAAAGAAGCTACAAACATGACATTTTGTGGTATTAGCATGTGCTTAAATGTTAATAGTTGACGATAGTTTCAACGGCATGTTGGTTGGAGAGCACTAATTTAAGACTTGAGGTGTATTTCCCCTGCGTTATCAAAAAAATAATATCTTGTAGTTGCAGAGAAAAATGTGCGTAAGGCACTCTACAACCTTTAATAACAATAAAGAGCTTGCCCTTTTAAAATGAATGGTTAGCATATCCGATGAATCAACTCTCTCAAGTGACAAAATTATCTCGAGATTTTCTTGGTGTTGGTCTCGGCTTTATCTGCAATCATTAACACCCACCAAACTACAGAAGGCCCGCGTAGTTGGTCACAGCCCCCTTCTCCTTATTCGGTTTGTTCTGCTCTAATTTACGAATTTTTCATTACTATAGAGAACACCATAAAATTTGGAATGTTACATCGAATATTAGTTTTAAAATTACAGCCCCAACTTGTTATCGAATATTAGTTTTAAAAATACAGCCCCGACTTGTAATAACACGGAGCAGCAAAAACAAAAAGGTAGTACTCTAATATCACTATACATCTGAGGTAACTAAAACACTTTCGTTTTCTTGCAGCTTATGTTATTTTTTCTGTTTTTTTTATATTTTTTTACGTAACATGACTTAATATAAAAAATATCTAATATACTTAATTTAAGAGATCTTTACTTAAGTTCAACTTTCTAATACATTTAAAAGAAGGTTTATTTAATACGACCATATCAAGACCCACAATGATAACCTTCAGAAGCCATTAAAACCGGTAAGCAATTTTGAAAATTCAACCTCGCTACCAACATATTTATGATACAATAAATAGAAAACTTCATTTTCAATATTTAATCGCGATACATTCACCTTGTGTACTGAAATGTATACCTTATAAATATAACTGATATATGAAGTCAGAAAAACTAAAAGATTTTTCTCAAACAAGCACTAATGCTTTGATCCACAAGTGTCATAATAATGATGATGTATCTTCAAACAGGACACGGTCTAGGAAAAAGATCTCCGTTATGTGTGTAACAAAAGAATATGTAAAAATGACTTCTGGACAAAGCATATTAATATATCATAATTTAATATACATTTTATGTATTAGAAAGTTGTGTTAATTAATTGGTAAATTGCCCGCTATTAAAGAAGTGCACAAATTTTTGGAACTGATATTCTCTTGCTCTATCACTTCTGAGATGGTCCGAAATGTCTTTCAACATTTCCTTTTTGATTTCATTATATTCTGGTCTATCGTCGAAAACTTTAACCATATCGTATAACGACTGTGCTGCGTTGTCTCCGGGATGTTCATCCAAGTAGTAACTGAAATCATAGGAGTTCTTTCATTAATGTCTCTGAAATTCTTTTCAAATTATTTGTAAGTCTAAAAATAATTAAAATTTCTCAGAAGTTAGAGTCATAAACAACTTTTAATGTTCTTTTTATAAATTGTTTTCTACATTTTTTGTTTTTCAACATTTTAGGGGAATCTATGGGAGAAATGGTCATCCTTTGACTTTTAAGATTTCATGGCCGAATGGCAATAAGCGGAACCGTAACAGATTCGACACGTCTGTTTGTCTATCGATTCGTATGCCACAGACACTTTATTCCAATAATATCAGAACTGCAAAGTTGAAACTTCGTTGATTGATGAACCGCTTTTTCACAAAAAAATAAATAGGGCACATATGGAAAGTGCGGATTACGAAAGGTCGTGAGTTCGAATCCCAGAGTGTCCTTGGTTCTCTGAGATGGGATAAGGAAAGGGGTTTTTTTTTTTTGCATTTTTCATAGAGAAGATTTTTCTATCAAATTACTTTTGCGGTGGGTGTAGAATGTAGTTAAATTCATAGAAAGGACTTTAAAAATGACAAAAAGACCGAGCTTCGGTAATAAGTTTCCTTTTGCCTTTTTAACATTAACTGAAGTTCGCGTTGAGCTTAACTTCAGACTCACTTATGCTATAATAGGTCTCTCACCTCAAACAAGTCTTCATATAGTCAAAATGGTCTATAAAACAAGGGCATTGAGAGATTTGAGGTGTCAACGGTGGTATATAATCGCGTACTAATACAGGTGGTTCGCCATACTTTCTGAGATACAACTTTCTTATCAAAGTTGACGTAATCACTGGCATTTGTTTGTTTATTTCTATCTGATCCGTTGTTGTGTTACGTTCTACCTCGCAATGATCTATAGCGACTTGTCTCTTCACTTCAACCATGATTGATTCAAAGTCATGTGTTGCTGCCAATTCTTCTATCTTTCGACAGATAGACTGTATGAACCATGAACCATTTTTATCGTCCCTGAAATAGGCCATGAAAATTCTTGTTCATATAAATGTAATCAATAAATATCCTAAGCTAATCAACATCCGGTCACCTTAATTGTTTAAGTTAGGTAGAATATTTGTAGTACACATGTTATTTAAAAATAGAAGCGAAATCACTAAAAATCAACATCGTCTTATTCCTAAACTACGTGTATCTTATGCGCCAAAAAAAAATTGCATAAAAATTGCTATAATTACGTTATCACTAGCAGAATATCAGCCATACAACCAACACAATTGGCGAGTGCAGTTCATTATGTGAGTACAATATCTTTTCTTACTACACAACCTTACACCAAAATTTGGGGTATAATATAAGTAGATATAAATGTTTTATTTACCTAAGTGATGGTTTACCGAAATAGGAACTGTGACATACGAGCATGTCAGCCTCTACTGGCAATGTGTACGGTTTCTCTTTATTTTTATCATCAAAATCTTTCTTGGTCTTGCCTTTTTCTTTAAAAACAGTCACTGTTTCTATTTCTTCTTCCCCACGACAAGCCTGAAAATTTAAAATAGAATGCATTTATTGAATGACAAACTACTTTGCTTTACTAGTACCGAAAATATGCCGCAATAAACTTGAAAAGGGCTATTAGTGGAATTAAGTCAAGCAATACATCATTATTTTTATCTACAAAAACCGTTCAAGCGCCAGTCAGACTCGTGCACGAAGAGTTCCAACCGAAATCGAGCAAAAATAATCACATTTGTTATGTGGGTAATAGGAGCCCACCTCAATATTTATTTCATTCTATTTTTGTATTACTGTAGCAACAGAAATACATTCAACATCGGCCCCTTTACGTCCCCACTGCAGAGGCTCAGGCCTTCCTTATGGTCTAGTCCGGGCCCTACGTGCTGGATACCGGACTCATCCATCCGCGTGAGGTGAACCGCAGCGGGTTTTACCAGGTAGGGCTTCCACACTAACTGCCCTTTTCAGGGCGGGGTGGAAGAGGAGCCCTGGTTTAAGGCTTAAGGTGCATTTCCCCTGCGTCAACAAAAAAAAAGGCCTTTCTTATGGTGGATGGGCCATGAACCTCCACGCTGGTCCAATGCGGATTGTGATGCGTTAACCACTGCAAATGCAGCTGGGACCAACGTTTAGCGTGCAGGGTGTAGATCGAGATAATAATTTTTTGTCACCCATCCCGTGGGCGACCTTTGCTAAAATGTTGCTTCGCAGGCCGCGGCGCTTAACCACCACGCCACTGAGCTACTTACATTACTTACCGGTGAAAATTTTCAACTGTCTAATCACAGTCCATGAGAAACAGCCTTGTTACAGAGGGACAGGCAGACGGATGGACTGCGAAGTCTTAGTATAAGGGTCCCGTTTTTTACCCTTTGGTTACGGGACGCTAATAAAAAGTAACTATTGCTTATTATTTAATCGCAACACTTTTGCGATTTGCTTTATTTGGCTTATGTCACTCTGCGAATGGTTCTAAATGGAATAAAAATAAAGAAATTTGCTTGGAACATGAAAATAACTGTGTTGTTCATCTTTTCTATATAGAAAAAAACATTCATTTTTATGAAACTCATAATTTCACTGACCTGTATTATGACAATCTTCGGTTTCGTCACTAGAGTCGGTCTTAAATCGACTTTAAAATGTTTTATAATTTCTGACTCGTTATAAGTTTTATCTTTTGCCCTTATGAGGCCTTGTTCAGCGCCGTGTGTTAAAACCGCCACAGCCACGCAACCATAATCGGTAAAATCTTTTTTACTTACTAAAAAAAACAAAACAAAATGAAATTAATTTTAGATCATTCTTTTTCGTATCATCTTGCTTTTACTGTAGAGATACTTTATACTGATAAATAATCATTAGTGTAAATAAATTATAACCTTAAAAATCCCAAAAACTTACATTCTTTAAGTATTCCCTGTATCTCCGTATGAGTCCGATCATTTCTAATGTCCACTTCGAAACCGTACTTTTCAAATGTTATCTTAAGTGCTTCGACATCTTTTTCAGTTCCAATTCTAGACTCACAACCATTTACATGCATATGATTCAATATAAGCATATGGTTCTTTTTGAATTTCTCTAATTCATATGTTTCCGCACGTTTTGCTAATGCTTTCATATTGATTTTTAAATTTTCACCAATAGTGCTTTCGTTTTGTAACTCTTCTAATTCTTTGTTCGAAGCTTCAGCCCTGTCCAGACTTTCGGTGGATGATTCTGGTAGTTCTGGTATAGATTCCTTTTCGTTTCTCATGTCCTCCATTTTTATACAATTTATTATCTATCTACTTTGTTTACACAATTTTTTAACTATTACACTTTAATAATATCGGAGCTTTTACTTCTTTACAAAATTTAGTGAATGGTTTGTGGACCTGCAATTTACTGAATAATCAATTTCTATATACTTTATCTTATCTATAGTACGTATCAGCAACTTTAAATTTATCGAAGTGGCATCATAATCATATTGGACGCCATCTTGAAAAGTTGATAAATAAATATTTTTATGGCATTATTGTTTTCAGTAACGATCTGGTGATAAATAAAACAACCATTTGGGAATAGCTATATTTTATTAATAATAAAAAATACTAAATTTTAACAATTATCTTATTTCTTTTTATTAAATTTATTTGATTATTTAAATATATAATTATATATTTAAAGTTTTAATTGTTAATAAAAAAAGAGTGCAATATACTTTAAAATAATTAAATATTTTTTGTAACATTTGTTATTTTTCAATCTATTTACTTTACTAAATATCTTATTATATATAAAATATCTTATTATATTGTTTTCCAAAATTTCCCGTTAGTGTATTTTTTTCTTAGAATAGAATAGAATGTTTTATTTATTTATTTTGAATATTTTATTTATTCTACACCATACGATAAAATCTAAATATATATAACTCAAAGGTGACTGACTGACATAGTGATCTATCAACGCACAGCCCAAACCGCTGGACCGATCGGGCTGAAATTTGGCATACAGGTAGATGTTATGATGTAGGCATCCGCTACGAATGGACTTTGATCAATTCTACCTCCAAGGGGATATAATAGGTGATGAAAGTTTCCATGAAACTTGGTCAATTTTAAACAGATCGGGCTGAGACTTTGTATGCATAAAGCTACTATGACGTAGGCATCTCCTAAGAAAGGATTTTGATAAGTTTCACCCCTAAGGGGATGAAACTTTATTTCAGGTATTTTACACGATATAATGAATAAATATTCGTTAGAAATGCTGCTCAAAGTAACTTTACCACGCGGACAATGGTCACGATTATTTAAATATGGTTTTAAAATTAACCAAAATTATAACTTGTTCACAAAAAATGGATTTTATTATATTCAATATCTGTTTAGTCTAAATAAATAATTATTGATTATAAATAGAAAAAAGTGATCTTCCAAAGCCTTTATTAATGTTTCACCATCATCATCAGCCCATTTATGTCCCCACTGCAGGGGCTCAGGCCTTCTTTATGGATGGTTAAGGAGGATGGGCCATGACCCTCCACGCTGGCCCAATGCGGATTGGAGGGTATTAACGACTGCCAATGCAGCCGGGACCTAAACGTGCCTTTCGAAGCACGGAGTAGCTCGTGATAATAATTTTTTGGTCACCCATCCTGTGACCGACCCTTGCGAAAGTTGCTTCACGACAATGATCGCGGGCCGCGGCGCTTATCCACTACGCCACCGAGCTTCTCTATTAATGTTTAAATCGGTCAAAATTAATAACTACTGAATTCATTATAAAAAGCTAAAAAGTATTTTTACTTAAGTAGTTTTATTTTTAATAGTTAAAAAAATTGCTACATTTCATAAAATTATGCAATTAGTGTTAAAAATGTGGATACTATTAAATGGGCAAACCGCACATAACAATGGAACAAGTTTGAATGGTACTGATAAGAAAGCAAAAAGTTTCTTCCTTTTTTGCATATGTTGTAATGTTTTTCTTGCGTATGTCAAATGATTTTTGTCTTTGTCTTTCATTGGTTCTTGGTTATCAGCCATCATCATAAGCTATACTGTAATTGTCTTTGCTGTAGTAAGTACTCATAATCTCGAGGAAAAACGTTGTCTTTGTTTGTTAAATTTTGTTTTTCTGTATTGAACTGGTCTCGTGTTGTTATGTTTCACAACTGTTAAAATGCCTACCTTTAGTTAAAATCCCCCATAATTATTTGTGTCGGTCCATGCACTAAACAACCTATATAGATCTGTGTTTCTTACTTTTATGCTATTTTAATTTTTATTCCTGTTTATTTTGTTATTTATTTGTATTTTTGTTACTTGTTATAGAAAACATTTCAGACATAACCTGCCACAAATACATTTTGTTTTATTTTATGTGCTTTCTGTTTGTCTTAGATGTGTGCCTGCTATGCTATACCATGCTAGCTTACATCATCAAGATATCGCCTGCCATGTTCTGTCGTCGGTTTGTTTTGTGTTATTTTATTTTATGCGTACCTTTTTTATGCGATCTACTGTTTTTGAGATGGTGGGTAGCGTGTATAAATGTAACGTTACATTTATTTTATAAAATATTCCGAAAATATAAGTTAAATGACTGGACTACAAAACAATCACATCGCTAGCGCAGGTGATAGGGGGGGTTGTGGCGCATCCGGAATGTAACACACCTGGAGTCCAACCAAAAATATACGTTCCCAACATACATTGTTGGCATGACACCCAGGAGCTAACAATGAAGAATGTTTAAAAAATGTTCTAACAAAGTGATCAAAATATCGATGACCTTTTCCAGTCAATAAAAATACATTCTTGGGATAGCACCACATTGGATTTCATAGTGGGCAGCGGTACAAGTTTGCACTATTCTTAAGTTTCTGCCCCGGTTGGAAATAATCGTAGAGCCTGTTTGATTTTCATAATACCCATGCTAGCCATGTAACCATAAGGCGTCGCCCTATTATTATAATTCACAGTATAGTATTAAGACCATATACAGGGTTATGGGTACTTAGACAGGATCCTTTTAAGGGGTGTAGGGGAGGTCATTTACAATTATTTTCACCTCACATTATGTATACAAAAGTGAGCCATTTTTGTGACAAATTGTATTTATTTGTTATTCTTTAAAAAAGTCGATAATTTTTTTTTTAAATTATGGTCAGAGTCTAATTTTGTTGACAGTTTTGAAAAGATAACATTGCAGTTCGTGATAACTAATAATAAAACCCAAATAATCTTGATCCAAACAGAAACTACAGAGATTTCAATTAAAAAAAAGTTTTTTGTTGTTGTGAATTTGCCAACAAATGTGCATTTAAAAAAAAATCTTTCGCATATACAATGTGGGGTGAAAATATTATAAATGACCTCCCTTACGACCTCTTAAAAGGATCAGGTCTAATTACCCATAACCCTGTATAGGGAATGTATAGAATACCTAGGGCGTCCTAGGAGTGTACGAAATATTATGAATATTACTGTCCATTATATACTTTCCCTGTGTAATATATAGGTATGTTACGCTCAAAGATAGAAATCGGTCACTAAGCGAAAAAATAGTTCACAACGCGTTGTGCTCACAACGCATTGTGTTCACAGTAAAATATCCACAAAATTCGATCTTTCAGCGTAACATACACAATCCTAGGGGTTGGAAAGAGTGCCTACTGTATAAAATAAATAGTTCTTGATCATATAGCTATGTACTTCAGATTTTTTTTTATAAATCACCCGAAACCTTTGTTCATTATTATCAAATTATATAACAAAATTAAAACTATTTTAATAATTTTACATTTTCCCCACAAATGAAGGTGATGGGCAAATTTCGGTGTTATATGTGTGTATATATTTGAAATTCTCATAGTTGTTGTCTTTGAGATATTTTGCGATCACCTTCAGCATATTTTTCTTTGGCTCATTGAAGGCTGGACCATCGAACGACTGGGTAATTCTATAAAATGATTTGGCAATAGTGTCATCGGGATGATCTTGTAAATAAAACCTGAAAATGTACAAAATTCCAATAATTAAAATATGAATCCAATTGAGCGAGTTTTGTTAATATCCGTAAATTTAACTTTGAAATCTTAACATCGCAAATTCTAAGCAAATCGTATCACAACTCCTGTCTCTGTCTCTCTTTCATATACCCAATTTTAACTTCCGTCCATTAACATCAGAATCCACATACTCACGTTTTAGTACCAAGAAGTTTTCCTACCTAATGCTCCTTGTACCTCCAATTCCTGTTAAACGATATCATTTACATCCAAAATATACAATATCATTCGAAGCATATGACAAACAGTATCAAATCTTCTCTTTCGAATCTGTCGAATAGCAAAATATTTATTTTGTTCGCAATCAAGCATAAGCCTTGCATCACACAACCATCTTTCCATGCTTTAATTAGTCTGCATATCAGATATGATAGAATTTCTAATTATATAAAAGCAGACAATTCCTCAGAGGATAACCCTGACATAATCGTACATAATAATAGTATATTTGCTGAGTGACAAAAGTTATAACAAGAGTACGCAATCCTACTTAAGATTAAAATTTATCATTTCCAATTTAGGTGTCAAAAAGACAATCTGCCCTGCGATTCTGTAAAAATCCAGACCAAATTGACTGATTATACGTGTTTTAGATATTCTCTTCCTGCGTCATTACGAAACTCACTTCATTTATGCCACCAAACGTTATTGCCAAATCAAGATCGAGCGGATGTCGCATTTTGAAGTGTATTCGGAGACCTGAGTGAATTCGAATTGAAATCATTTCGTTGATCGATAAAGCGTCTACGACCTACCGCTAGTTCACGGTGCCAATCAGTTGCTTTAATCACTTCGAATATACGTATTGCTCTCATCGTATTCAGATGAGTGATCCCTGAACTAACTAATGCTGAGACGGGCAGCTTGCCGCGTATACATATGAGCCAAGGTCAATTATAGGTCCAATCCTAGGTATACCTTGGCCCAACTGACATATTTGCGACGTTTCCTAAAAGTTCTGGAACCGCTATCTCTCCCTTTCTCCCTCGTGACGTGTCAAGATCTTTGGTGCACGCGATTCAAGAACGAGCAACGCCATCTAGTGACACGTTGGTGAAACATCGCACTATGTTGTTACTACAAGGCAGCGCTCGTCGCTTCGTGATAATATCAAGCATCGATAGCTTGATAATTGGTAAGATCTGTATATGATTTGTATACTTTCTAAACATAATTTACATAGGGAAACTTACCTCAAACATTCTCGCATGTATTGAAAGTGTTCTTGGTAACAAGAACAATTGCCATTATTCAAGTGTATCGGTTGGCTGATGACTTCTTTCATTCCTTGATATTTAGCCTTCTCTCCGTCAAACGAACGTTTCGATATTTGGTCAAATTTTTCTATATCTTCATATTTCTTTAGATACAACTTTCTAATTAGAGTCGATGTTATTACTGGCATCTGCTTATTAAATTGTACTTCTAAAGTTGCTCTATTGTATTCTTCGTGGTATAGATTAATCGCCACTTCCCTCTTAACGTTAATAAGAATCGACTCCACATCCAATTTGGCTGCAAACTTATCAATATTTCTGCAAAGACTCTGAATAAACCATGAACCTTTATATATGTCTCTGAAAAAATTAAAGTATGAGTTAGTTACAGCACTAATTCTTCAGCACAAAATTAAATGAATATATTTTAAAGTTATCATAAAACATCTAGCTTAAGGTCTCTTGGTAGCCTCAATCCTTAGCCTTGAGGTAGCCTTATTCCCTACAGACTGCGTCCCCGGTGATGGATAAGCAAATGCTCGTTATATAGGCATGTTTGTTTGAAGGGCAGTTGGGAAATAAAATACCTCTTGCGAACCTCAACATAAACTTGTTTACCAGACCACAAAGGAAACTGGTAAGTGGGCCGCTAGGACTTTTCCAACAACGGTCGCCGGCCGGGCAGTGGTATCAGACGGGATGTTATAAAGAGGATGGCAACAGAGGAACCTAGATCAACGCTGGCACCTTAAACCCCAGTAAACAGGAGAGGTTTCTTGGCCTTGGTGTCAGATGACAATTGGCTGTAATACTCAAGCAGAAGGGTTGTCTACTAGGGCTAGCGCGTCCACCGTAAGCGATGAAACCAACAAAAACCGAAGGAATGCAATAAACGCTAGGGCATACGCATTGAAGATTGGAGAGCGCATGGGCTCATTCTTAGTACAAATACATCTCACCGATTTGTGGTGCGGTTGAGGTCAGTTTCGGCGGTGGTTATTGGCTACTGAAAAATCACCGGATACTCTAGGGTTGCAAGTTGGTAATAATATAGATATCGATAAAATAGGTTTATTAAAACAGATGGAAGGTCAACGTCTGGCTCATTGTGGTACATTGTTTTCATGACTCTTATGTCTTTTGAAATAAGAACAATGTTTTTAGAAGGAATAAAAATTCTGAAAGCTTTTGATGTTTCAGAGTAACCTACAAACATTCCTGGTTGAGACGGGAATGCAGTGTACCGCGTCCTGTGATCGTTTCTTTGTTGCGTGTAATGGTAATGTGGCGGCCCGCTACAGCTGCTGCGGTAATTGGATGTTTTTTCTTTCAGTTCGGCGATCTCGGTGTGCATTTTACGAAACTCGTCAACTAAAATTTGCATGTTTGTATCATCTTTATTGTTTGATATCGGCGTAGTGATAGATGATATTGACGAAGTTTCGTATTGTTCTACCATCTTATCAGCGAGTTTGGCGATATCGTCGAGTGCGGTATCTTTGGCCATTGTGTCGCTTACGACGAGTATCGAGCGCACGTGTGGTGGTAGATGATTCATCCACATTAGCTGTAGCGTTTTGTCAGGGATTTTTCCCGTAGCGAGCGTTTTCATACGACGAAGCAACTGGCTCGGCTTCTGGTCTCCGAGTTCCATGTCGGAGAGTAACCTATGTAGCTGCTTGCTGTCGGATTCCTCGTATGCAGATATGAGTTTTTCTTTAACGACTGTGTAATAGCCCTCAGACGGTGGTGCGTAAAGTAGGTCGCAGATTTGCTCGACATCTTCCTTGTTTAGCTGGGCGATGACCATCTGCGCCTTCCAAATTTATTATTGTTAGAACCCTTTTGTAGCACGTAAGTCTTCAAACCAAATGCATATAAATGATTAATGCACGGGTGTCTCCCAACCCACTGTTTAAAAGGCGTTTCATTTCCAATAGCGCTATTAATACTTCTATTTGATAAGTAATTTGCTGTTGTTATTGCTTCGCCCCAAAATCTAAATGGTGCGTTTGCATCAATCATCATTGCTCTCGCTTTCTCCATGAGTGTAAGGTTCTTACGTTCGGCAATTCCGTTCTGATTCGGAGTATAGGGTGCGGTTAACCTACGCTGTATCCAAAATTGAACGAATAATTCAATTATAACAAAATAGAAATAATTAACATACGTAAAACATAAATAGTTAAAACGGTCGCTACCAAGAGACAATAATACTTATAATTTCACTTATTATAGAGTAGAAATAAAAATTCAAATAGTTTAGTGGTAAAAATAATTTTTGTATTTACTTTTTGAAACACATTACTTAGGGGTCTACATTTGGATCATACCAGTGTTTCAGGGTTTCTTCTTAATCTTTGGCTCAAATCCTGTGCTTGTGTAAACTTTTTACATTTAATTTAACAAATATGTTAACTTCTAAAATATAAAGACAGGGTAGTGTCAAAATTTGGAGAGCTTTAAAGGAAGACTTGCAAGAAATATCCGGCATTAGATTGCATATAGGACGAATGCATCTTTTTTGAGCAATAAACAGAATTTAAGTATCCTGCCCTTTCCCCAAATTAATAAACCATATCTTACGATGGATTCTACATATGCGAAATAGGCCATGACAGCTGTATTTACACTTGCTACTTATGTGAGTTTATATAACGCGAAGGAAAAGGAGTTCACTTTATTGCACACTTTTTCTATATGCTCTTTCCAACTGAATTTTGGATCAACTATTAAGCCTAGAAATTTTACATTTGGAGCAATCTGTAGAGTTTGTCTATTAAAAGGTACGTCTCCTGATTGATTTTTAAAATTATTGAAATTAATTATATTAGTTTTTGCTAAACCCTTTACCTTAAGATTGTTATTCTGAAGCCAATTAACAATTGATGTCTTTGTATTTGTGATGATTTTCGTTGAAACAATAATGGAAATGTCATCAGCAAATAGTACTGTCTTAAAATTTGTAATATCAGATAAATCATTAATATACAGCATAAACAACAAAGGGCCTAGAAAACTGCCTCGAGGAACGCCAAATTTATTATAATTTGGTTTAGAACTGTAAAGCTAAATTGTAAATATATCTCCTACCAATTGCATTCTGTTAGTTAAGTAGGAATCCAACCAGTTTTATCGAGTACAACCAGTATTATCAGGAATTCAGCATTCCGCATTATTACTAGGTATACACAAGTTTTCTATATGTTTAAAAATAAATTGCTGCTCATTTGTGTAAAACTCGAGAGCGGCTGGCCCGATTTAGCTAATTATATGTTTGAAACGTTTATCGTAGCCTAAGGAAGGTTTAGACGATGAGAGGTGATACGAAGTATTACACAATACACAATTTTATTTAAAAACTAGATGTTACAAAACCGTGATAAAAATATTACATTTTTCTTGAAATTGATACTTATAAATAAAACTAATTAAAACCTACACTAATTTTATGTTAAAATATTTTGTTAATTGTTGGTGCTGCTGCGGAACTTGAGTATTTTCAGAATACTATTTTAATAACCAATCTACATAAAAAGACTTGACAGAGAAGTTAAGTACAGTGTGGGTAATTTTCTTTAAATTTTCAATAAGTCTAGAACAGATACCTACCTAATACTAGCTGAGTAATCTAAAAATCTAAATTATTTTACCTCTTTATTGGGCTTATATCTATATCATCAAAGGTTCATCAGATCTATATAAGACAAACATACAAACGTCAATTGTATTTTTTCGGATCAAGCATAAAAACGTAACAAATAGATTTTATATTTACTCCCTAATCCGGTCCTGTTTGAACTTTCATACAATCTTGTGAAACACTTAGCCCCCTATAATTCGGACTTATAATAAAAATCTTTTTAACTGACATTGTCGAAATATTTTTTTGCCAAATTTCATGTCAGTGATTTTAATAATTTTTCCGACTTCATGATTAATGGTAGCTCAAATCAAATCATTAAGTCTTATATAATACTATATACTGGGAGGAACAAAATGACCGACACAGCCGAAAGTTTCAAGTTAGGTTAGATGCAAACGTTCATTTTATTTGACAAATGTTTAAAAATAGAGGAGGTGTAAAAATGGAGTAAAAATTTTAAATTTCTAAGTGTTGACAGCCCTATAACGCGCATGCGCAATATCGATTGTGTGCAGATTACAACAAACTGCGAAATTCATTAATTTAATTTTATTATTTACCGATATCTTAATGATAGTCGATGCTGAAAATGTCCACTTCCTCTCTGAAGACTGAGCTAAGCACGCTCTTTTCAATGCCGCACATGCACGCGCAAAATACATCACATTTCACACAAAACTAAACACAATCTTCACTAAATTAAACATAACACTCAAGACGAACACTACTATCTTATTAACAAAAATTCAATTAAAAATGCACTAGAACGAAACAAAAATCGACAAAAAAGACGCTTCGCAGGCGGTGCGTTGGCGGCGATGCGCAACAACACTCCAACGCAAAAGGTCGGCGACGACTGAGCGGCCGGAAAATACCGACAGAATAATGAAGCCGCCTGGCGGCTGCCTGGCGGGTGGGGCTTTGATATCGAGGGACGAACTCGGTTCACATTTTTTTTATTCGTCTTTTGATATCACGCAATTTTTTAATGTTCTTTTTAAATGCTATTTTAATAACAAATTCCTCAATGTTTTTAAAACAAAGTTCATTTGGGTTAATGATGAATCGCTGGAAGATTTGTGAGTTTATCGAGTTTAATTAACGATCCCGTTGTTAAAAGAGTATTACCCCATTCAAACAATTTTTTTGCAGATCTGCTCTTTTAAAATAACGTAGGTTAATGTTTAAACTGATCTCTCTACAATAATTTAGGAATTTTTACACTCGGTTTCTTAATTGAAAATTTAAAGTTAAACGTCTCAAACTAACATCACTTAGTTTTCGTTTCCGATTTTAGTTTTTTAATGATCAGATGATAGCAGTTTGATAAAACTAGGACTATTTGACTTGTGAAATTAAAAAAAAACTTAGGTTATTGAGAATAAGCAGTAGAAATTTTCTATTTTTTTCAAATCAGAAACCGGCTGTTAGTCTGTAAATCGATTTAAGCATTTTGACCGCCTTGTTTATTGATTGTCTGGTAGAATTTGCATGAAAGCAGTCTTATAAATCATAAACTAGTTTATTTCGTGTTTAAAAATGAAGAAGTCAATGACCGATTAAAAACTTTTCCTTAGTACGTCCCCAAAACAGCTGACACAGAGTTGAAAACACTCATTCTTTTTCAAAAACTTTGTGATTTAATATCTCCGTAACTATTTGACCTAGACTTATATTTTTTTTTACATCATATTAAAGACAAATAGTACTCTCTAGGAACCTCGGGAGTGTCGGTCGTTCTGTTCCACTGAGTATAAATTATCTAACACAAGCTCATGTAACACATATTTACTTTCTAGCTTATGGTATTATATTTAAATTAAACCAATCATATAATTGTTTTCAAATCTATATTCGGACTTTGTCGATATATTTTGTTACGATTGAATTAGCGTACTATTTTGGAAGCACTTGCCCCCACATGCTTACTCCAGTCTACTCCATGGGCACACGGAACAAATCCAAAAGAGTGGCTTGCAAGTTGGAATGTGAGCACGAAGCGCTAAATTGATCGAAGTATTGGCCAGGAGACATCAATATATGTTGCATTCAAGAGACGAAATAGAAGGGGCCAAGTAAAGGAATTCAGAATATAGGACAAGGGTACGAATTCATTTACTATGGCACGAAATCAAGAAAAATCTGACTGGATAATAGCAATTTAAATTGCATCGGATAATCAACCGTCTACTAATTCATTGTAGCTTACACACCGAAAATAGATTTACCATAACCACAAAGGAAGGCCTTTTGGGATGACCTATACCATTTACAGACAATATCAAAGACCGTATTAAAATACATAGGAGACGACTCCAACGGCTGTGTAGGACAACAAGTACCCACCTGAATGAAGAGAGGACATCGGAATAACGGTTTGGTGGTAAAAATGCACCTTTGGTCTCGCTATAAATAACACATTTCTCTAAGCCTTAAGAACATTTAATAACATAAAAAAGAGACGGAAAATTTACAAATTGACAGACCAGTATCTATGGATTTATCCAACCTGGGCAGAAACTTGTTGTTGCTCTTCATACATCTTTGTGTTAAGTTTCAAGTTTCCGAAATCTGATCAGCAGAAGTCACACTGTTAGATTAAGTCCCAAATCGGTAGTCGGTACATAAGAAGCTGGTCCGCTTATTGTCTTGTCATACGACGACCTAGTGACCACATGACTAAAATTCTCACGATAGGAACCGGCCCTAAACCCCGGCTAACATCGATTTCCACTATCATTAAGTACTTTTAGAAACATAATATTGTATAGACTGCTCTAGAAACACATGATAAGGAGAGCCGACCACAAATGAAATGGGAAAAACTTGACAAAGAAGAAAAATTATTTATAAAATAATATTGATACGTATTTAACAACACACCTGTATGATGGCTTCCCCATATATGAGCTATGCAATATGAGCATGTCAGTTTCCACAGGCAGATTATATGGTACCTTTTCATCAACATCAACCGTATGTATAACCTTTCCTCTTGATTTCATGACATTTACACCTATTGAATCACCATAGCCTCGACAAGCCTGAAATTATGATTGTTTACATTCATTACATCGCACTTATATCCCAAGAGGAGCATTTCTACATATTAAATATAATATTGGCATTGACTAATTAGAATTATTCATTTTATTATATAATTTATTATCCACGAATAAAATCTCCCGATGCTTCCATAACAATTATTTCAGACATCAAACCAATCAGCAAAGATTTATAATAAATAGAACTGTTATTCCTATTATACAATAACTTCGATGTAAATATACGATATGGATATTAAGTTTACCTGAAACATAAATATTTTGGGTTTTGTTACTAAACTTGGTGTATTACCACCCATGAAGTGGCGGAAGACGTCTTTTTCATGGTAGGGCTTATCTCTTGCATATATTAATCCTCGATCAGCACCATGAGATAATATTGCGACCGCCACACACCCGTAATCCGTGAAATCTTGATTTGTAACTGAAATTTCAAAAAAAAAAATTAATGAAGGTACATAATCCAGTAATAGAGCTAATATAAAAAAAAAACATCTTATGCACAGAAATTATGAATGCGGTGGTTAATTCTTTATACAACCATCTGTTTCAGTGTTTTACCATTAGTTTTTTGCTTATGTGTTTATAAAAGATTCTTATTAAGAGACTTCAAAATCGAAGAGGAGGAGGTTATATGTTCGACGGCGATGTATTTTTTGTTATATATATATATATATATATATATATTTTCACTGATGTTTTTGTCAATTATAGACCGATTTTCAAAATTATTTTAATATATCCTAACTTTTGGGGGAAGGGCCTCGGATCGAGCTGGGGTTGCTCCACACCCAGCCCGCCTACAGGAGGAAGCTTGTGTGCCTCCTCCTAGACAATTGGAGTCATATAACTCCCTGTTTAAGACTGCAGGTCAATAATCCGGCTATGCTCATTGCCCACACTTGCCCACATTGTATGACCGCTTGCCCACAGAGCTCTGTGAATAATATATTTCAATTGTCCTCAGAATTGCAGAATAAAGGGGCAAATAAGAGGTGATTTGCACAATACATCAACATCAATCAAATAAAGAGTGTCGATGGTCTCCAATGTAATTACCACAGTATGTGAAATTTCCGCAATTGTTTTTGAATTCTTCCCTGATATATAGAAGTTTCAAATAGAGTGAAAAAAAATACAGTTTTGTATAACCTGACGAGATGTTGCAATAGAATAGGAAATAATACTTGCTACATAAAATGATACATTTAAAATATACGAACTTACAATCATACAATTTCTCCATTATTTCATCTCTTGTTAGATCACGTCCTATTGTCACTTCGAAATCAAATTTTGAGAAGGTTTTAAGAAGTATCGCTTCATCTATCTCAGTTCCCAATCTAGGATGGTAATCACGAATATATTTGTTATTAATAATTAACAATGCATTCTTATTAAAGTTCTCCACTCCATATGTGTCTGAATCTTTTGTTATTATATGTCTGGCTTTCTGAGACGTCAATTTGTTGTATACTTTCTCTTCCTCTGGGATAGATACTTTCGCTTTATATTTCAGTTGTTCAACATCTGGCAAAATATTGTGTAGCACTTTTGGTGGCGACTTTAAATCGCCATCTTCAACAATAACACCGTTCATTTCACCCTCCATAGTTCCAATCTTTTCATGACCTATCATAATTTCCACTTTGTTCACTTCCTCAATTACAAATAACACACATATATATTTAACAGCTCAATCTTTAGAAAGGGAATAACGTTAGTTAAAAGTTTTAGTAAGTGTTGACTAACGGAGATAGATAAATTCCTACATATCGATTTATACTAGTTATCTTATCTTTCCTGATAACTTAACGTACCTAGTTGTCAATAAAGGGTCCTCGTATATAAAGTATGTATAAGATATTACAATATTGTTGCAAAACTTTAAAAAATCATTGCAAACTTCGTTGTTATGACGTGTCCATGATACGTTATTAACAGTCATTAATCACAGACTTAGTAGGTGGATATTTCCCTAACATTAGATGGTAAGTACCCATCTAGTCGAGTAGCTCGGTGGCGTAGTGGATAAGCGCCGCGGCCCGCGATCATTATCGTTAAGCAACTTTCGCAAGGGTCGGTCTCGGGATGGGTGACAAAAAGGATTATCTCGAGCTACTTCGTGATTCGGAAGGCACGTTAATCCGTTGGTCCCGGCTGCATTTGCAGTTGTTAATACCCTCCAATCCTCATTGGGCCAGCGTGGAGGGTCATAGCCCATCCTCCTTAACCATCCATAAGGAAGGCCTGAACTCCTGCAGTGGGGGCGTAAAAGGGCTGATTATGATGATGATGATGATGAAGTACCCATTTATTTGTTCTCCTCTCCTTTCCATTGATTACAAAGTTATCAACCCCTCCGGATCCTCCGGACCCACCAGACCGGCCCCAGACACCTTCAACATCAATGGAACTTTCACCCCCAATTAGGGATTGCAATCCGGTATCATTTCAATCCGGCCGGATTTTACGCATAAATAAATTAAATATTCATGTAAAGAACATACTAATGAGTAAAGGCTATTAAAAAGTTGATAATTATTTTAGAGATCGCAATGCATGGAATTAATATGGCTTCGCTTTGTGGGCCACGCCGCGCCAATGACCGACGCCGCCGATCATGACACGCCACCGCTGACCGGTTAGAAAGATCGGCGTAAACGGCGCGGGATGGCACGAACTGCGAGTAACATTCGTTCGCTCGGTTGCTAAGCAGCGTTGTGCATTCTCTGCGGCACGTGTTAATTCCGTTCCGTATTCCATCCTTATTTCCATATCTAGTAAAATTGATTATTTCCATATCTAGTAAAAAATGATATGATGCAAACTAATAAACAATAAAATCTTTCTTCTTTAATTAAAGCTGTCAACAATGAAATCTTGTACAATTAATGTGGCACTCGTTTACAAGATGTAGTTGGCAGAAATCATAAATTCAATACTTACCCTTATTTGTCTACTCTAGCTAAACCGCTACAAGCACACCTAGCGAACGTGTATCCTCTGTAGCTAGCCTTACTAAAACGGCTTAACGATTGCGTCTAACTGGAATAATATCAATAAAATAATTTCTATACATGATAACTATTAGCTTGGGGAAAAGGTCTTTTCGCATACATATAGTATGCATAAAGTTGCAATAAAATATTTCTGGCTATACCATGTCTATGTGGCTGGTTTCGGTATCATCAAAAAGTTTCTTACTATGAAAATGAGTAAATCTAATGAAGAACTTAGATACATTTTAAAATTTTATTATAAAAAGGTAAAAATGCAACGTAAGCCGCGAAAAATAATTATGACGTTTATAAACCTAATACAGTTTCTGTGAGAGTAGCACAAATTTGGTTTAAGCGTTTTCAGCCTGAAAATTTTGATGTTAAAGCATATCAGTGGTTACGACGAAGCTAAGCTCACTGAAAAAAACCTAAAGAACCGTGTAACTTTTGTGATTTTTTATTGCGGCGTAATGAAACCGAACCATTTTTGAAGAAGCTGATAACTGGTGATGAAAACTGGATCACGTACGACAAGAACATGCGAAAAAAATCGCAATCAAAGGTCGGTCAGGCTTTACAGACTGTGGCGAAACCCAGGTTAACTGGCAAAAAGGTGATGCTGTTTGTATAGTGGGATTGGAAGAGCATTATTCATTATAAGCTGTTACCATCAGGCTGGACCATCGATTCCGAACTCTACTGCGAATAACTGATGAGATAAAAGCAAGAAGTTGAGAGACAGCGGCCAGGATTAATCAATAAAAGGAAGGTGGTTTTTCATTAAATTAAGAGAGTTTGGCTGGGAGGCGTTAATAATATAATAATAATTATAATATAACTCTTTATTGTCAACACCACATATACAGAAATATTAATATTACATACAAATATTAATATTACAGGGTAACAATTGGCGGTCTTATCGCTTAGAGCGATCTCTGCCAGATAACCTTTGGATGGAGAGAGCTAAATGACAATCAGGAAACGGGGGTGCAAATTAATATGTATCCGCTGTATAGTCCTGACCTTGCACCTTCAGATTTCCACCTGTTTGGGTCCTTTCAAAATTCTTTAGGCAGTGTCAAATTAACACCACGCGAAGATTTGATGATGATGAAGAGGTCAAAACAACTTATCGCGATTTCTTGATTAGTTGATTAGCAAAAAGTTATCGAACAAAATAATATCTACATACTTTAGTTGAATGTAAATAAACTTTATTAAAAATGCTTAGAATTATAATTACTTAGAATTCTTATTGAAAAATGCTTAAAAATCCACTTTGTCCCCAGCATTCTCAGATGGCACTTAAACCCATGACCTTGGACCCATGGATTGCTAAAAATTTTTATTTAATATCGTTATGACTACGTTACATAATTTAAAAGAGTATAATTTTGCCATATTTGATTGTTACTTAAAAGGTGTTATTAGTTTTAGTAGCTCTTATATTTGTTATGTCATTATAGGCATTCTGAATTATTTAACTTTTTATTTTCCATCATTTAACATAACAACGCCGATTACGCCGCTATTTACGCCGCCGCCACTGAATTTTTAGCTCCACGCCGCCGCCGAAGATTTCGGCATCGGCGCACATGCCTAATATGTACCAACCTGTGTCCTACAGACTTTGAAAATTGTTTTTATTATTGTTATAATACGTACTATTATGGTAATGACATGGTTTATGTAAACGTCATTTTATTTATTATAAAGAGCTTGTAAGTTTCTTCCGCTTGTTCTTCTTGTCAGCTAAAAGACGTCCTGAATGAATGGTAGGAGAAAAAAAATATTTAATTTCATATTTAAGGGTAAATTTACTTTGATTTTTTAAAATAATAGAAATAGAACACTTCTTTATGAATGGATTATCTTTTCGCAATTTATAGTTTTACCGGATCCATCACCGAATCCGTAGCGGCAGTGCCGGATCCGGTAGGTCTTGAAACACGCCAGATCCGCCGGACCGGATTGCAATCCCTACCCCCAATATTTACCCAGACTAGCCTCAAATGGCATAATAATGATACTGACCCCGAAGTTAACAACGCGCTTTGTAAAAGAGTAATTACTGAGATCTGTCAGTCGGACACATTAGACTCCTCCCCTGGAGTATACACCCAACCCAGGACCTAACAGGACTGACGAATCTTTCAAGCACGTTTCAATATTTGTAACAATATTTGTTTCGGCTGTTTGGGTGGATGTCTGAACATTGATGAGAATACGCTCTGTAGTAGCGAAAAGTAACAAGTGCAAAATATTGTTACAAATATTGAAACGTGCTTAAAAGATTCGTCAGTCCTGTTTGGTCCTGGGTAGCTCAGTGTTTAGAGCAGTCGCCCGGATTGCGAAAGGTCGTGGGTTCGATTCCCATCTCAGGGTGCCAGGGACCAAGTGGATTTTTTAAGCATTTTGTATTAAGAATAAATAAACAATATTTAAACAGTGATAAGGGACCATTAATTATTCATGTTTCTAAAATTGAGACAGATCTTGCATCCGGTACATCTATTGATCCTATCAAATTCGGGTTATTAATTTCTAGTTAAAAACAACGTTAAAAACATATTGAATGATGGTATAAAAAAAGATAGGTCGTATTAGGATATCTTTGGAATTCAAAACTAACACAGACGCTAATAAATTCTTGAAAAATCTTTACACCATGGGTATCGTTAAAGATATTCCCTCCGATTTATCAATGGAAGAGTTTGTAGATTCTTTAGTTGTTCCGTTAACTGTGGAGTGGTCCTTAATGCAAGACGACTACGATCACAGGCCGCGGCGCTACGCCACCGAGCTACTCCGACACGCTAAAACAATATTATTTAAAATTGATTAATACATTTAACGATATCGGTTCTATCCCAGTTCAATGGTCTAAGCAAATAATTATTCCTTTAATAAAACCAGGGAAAGATCCCTCTAATCACTCTTCCTACCGCCCTATTGCCCTTTCATCTGTCTTCTTAAAAATCGTGGAAAACATGATCAAAAAACTGCCTGGAATGAATTATGGAAAGCCATAATATCATTACTAAATCTTAATATGGTTTTAGAAAAGGTTTCAGTACCATGGACAGTCTTGGTTTATTTTACATCTGATACTCGATTAGCATTCTAAAACAAAGAATACCTTGTTGGTGTCTTCCTAGATGTTGCTTCTGCTTATGATAACATCCTAATTCCAGTGCTCAGGCATAAAATGCAACAGCTGAGTGTTTTTGAGAATTAGTACGGTCCATTTGCAACTCAATCACAACTAGATCCATCCTGATAAGGCATCAAAATCATTCACTGGTAAGGACTGTGTGGAAAGGATTACCTCAAGGCAGTCCTTAGTCCCATTTTATATAGTTTATACACGTATGATATGGAACTTTCTACAAATTCCTTTTGCGACACTCTCCAATACGCAGATGATATAGCTCTATACATATGAGTAAAATCCATACCGGAAGCAACTTCACGTATGAACTCTGCTCCAAATCACCTCGGGGAGTGGTTGGTAAAACACAGGTTATCAATCTCCCTACCAAAGTGTAGTACTGTTATCTTCACCAAAAAACGAAATGTCTCTACTCCTGTTATACAATTTCAAAATTCTGCCATAGAAATAAAAGACTCTGTTAAATTCCTAGGTATGATATTGGATTCCAAACTATCTGGCACGGTTCACTTCAATAATGTTGCCAACAAGGCAGAAAAGGGTGTCAATGTTCTTCGGGCGCCGTCTGGCGTTAGGTGGGGTGCACACCCAGGTGCCCAAAAAC